CATGCGCTGGTGCGCGCGGCAAAGATTAAAAGCGGCGATTGTCAAGTCGCCGGCGCAAGCACAAGGGCGATCACGAGGGCCATCTAGGTCTCGCGACGATGTCTGAAATACGGATCCAGGCCCAGGGCGATGAGGGGGCCAGACAATGGACAGCCCTGCTTGACGCCGCGCTCAACCTTGAATTTGCCATTAATTGCGGTTTCTGAAACGGACGCGCATGCGCGCGTTGTCGCGCAAGTTTTCACGACGCTGCTGCGCCATCCTGGAATCCTCATTTCCTTTAGAACACACATGGCCCAGTCGTGCGAAATACTCGGAAACGCTTGTCTGGTAAAGGCCATGCTAGGGGAGGAAGCATTCCCATGCGCGGTGCACTGAGCGCATCCACGATCAAGAGCAAGAGCATCATCGACCAGCGATCTTCCACCTACACAGCCTCGTTGTTCAGGGTCGACGGTTCGGCGGGCCACCTCCTTGAGCGGCTGTGCGAGAGCGCCGCTGATCAAGCCACAATCTGCGCTCCCTAGTGCGAGGGGCCTCGGCTGGTCCGTCGCTCTCATCGGCTCCGCCCCCAGCGCGCCTTTCGGTAAAAAGGCAAGGAACGCGTCATTGAACTCATTGGGGACCTCCCCCGTGTCGACGATGTGGCGATACTGACGATATAGTATCTTGCGAGCCGTGATCCCCCCATGCCTCCACCGAGAATACGGGGTGCCTTCCAGACCAGGATTCGAGCCTCTGGACATTGCCGCTAGGAAGTCAAACAATCCCCCCATTCACGATCCACGGCATGTTCTGCGGAGCGGGCTGGATCCATTGTCGAAGCGGCTGCGCGCTGCCCTGGCGGGGGCGAAAAGGTCGGGCGACTGGCGCCCAGTGGTCCTGCAGCATGCTGGCGGGCCCATGATCCCCTGCAGTATCACTTGCTTGCGACGGGGGGCCCGCGCCCGAGACGGCCCCTCAACTCCTGCGAACCCAGCGGCCCCAGCCCGCGCAGTCGAATATTTATCATGTAGATGCTCCGTGCGATCATCTTCAAGCTGTTGACGGCTAAGCTCAGCAACGCAGGCATAAAACGCATCAGGGTCGACGAGGCAAGCGCCGCCACCGACGAAGTTTGCCAGCGTCGAGAACCGACGAACAACGAGACGCACGCGGTCATGATCATTGAGCCGACGAGCGCGATTGAAAGCCACGCGCCGCGATATTGCGCGACGAATCGATCTGAAACGACTAGCGCCATATTCATGCGTTATCCCGTGCGCGGCGAGAAGCGTGATGAATTAACTTCTAGGGCGCCCAACTCTGCATCACCCGAGACGCCCATCTCGCCGATCAAGCGCTCGACCCCAGCCGCAAACTCTGAATGGCGACAGGCCCGCCTCGAAATGACCGCCGCGGTGTTTGGGCGTTGCACCGAGGGAGTAGCATAGACAGGGGCGCGATCACCAACGTCGCGAAGCTCTGCGGGCTGCCATTCTGCACCAGCTGCGGGGCAGATCGAGGGGCACCGACGGAAGGGTCGACGCATCCATCCTGCCCGGTCGCGCAGTACTTGTGCGCTGGCCGTTGCGCTGTGAACTGCGAGCATGATGTTCCTGCGCAAACTCAGCAACTCCCCGCGGCGCCCGAATGCAGTCGCCATCGGGCCATTCGGCGCGCGGTCCTGGGTAGGGTCAATATGCCGAGGGGCGTCGCCCATCGCGCAAAACCCCCCATCGCCACCGACATAAGCTGACGCGCGCCTCGGGCCGATCACGCGCGAAAAGCAAGATGGGGGCACTTTATCGGCGCCAAACGGGGGGCAGAGCAGAGTTGGAGGGCCCCCATGGGGGCCTTTGCGATCAACTGTGGCGCGCGACTGCCAGACGCAACATTCATCGTTTCCATCGAATCGAACTGCGAGCGGCGCCTGTCGCGCAAGGCGCGCGAATACACAGCCAGAAATCCCATCTTCACAGAAGGATCCGTAACATCTGTGGGGCGGGTGGGGGGGCGTGTGCGCGCGTGTGCGTGCGTGTGTGTGAGGTGGTGTGTGTGTGTGCGTGTGTGTGTGCGCATGGGGTGTGCGTGGGTGCGTGTGCGGGTGGTGGTGGCGGTGGTGGTGGTGTGAATGTGTGTGTGTGCGTGCGTGCGTGCGTGCGTGCGTGCGTGCGTGTGTGTGTGTGTGTGCGTGCGTGCGTGCGTGCGTGCGTGCGTGCGTGCGTGCGTGCGTGCGTGCGTGCGTGCGCGTGCGCGTGCGCGTGCGCGTGCGCGTGCGCGTGCGCGTGCGCGTGCGCGTGCGCGTGTGCGCGTGCGCGTGCGTGTGTGTGTGTGTGTGCGTGCGTGTGTGCGTGCGTGCGTGCGTGCGCGCGCGCGCGTGCGTGCGTGCGCGCGCGTGCGCGCGCGCGCGTGCGCGCGCGGGGCGGGGTGGGGCGCGCGGGGGGGGGGGGGGAGAGCGTCTAAGTCACCCGTGCGCTCGTGCGGTTCTTGAACCCGGAGGGCGCTGGATTTTGATGATGGAGATTGCGCCCCCCCCCCCGCCCACGGCGCCGAAGAGAGTTGCAGCAGCCCAGCTGCTCGCGCTAAATTGACCGCGGGGAGCCCGCGAGGTAGGGGGGGGGGGGGGGGGGGGGGGGGCAGAGGCACAGCATTCTGAGACGAATTCAGCAAAGAAAAAGACAGGGCACTAGCGCAGTCCCTCTCAGCACAGGGGCATGCCACGCGCGTCGAGAATGGGCTTAATCTTGTCCATCGCGATGCCCCAGTCCTCGCAGCCGCCCCGCGCGCACGTGGCGACTCTGCCCATGTCCACGCGGATCAGGTCCCACATCACGGAGATGGTGCTGGAAAGCCCCGAACATCCCAGTTTGCAGCGAGGAGTCGCCCATCTTGGCTGATCACGGAGTAGCTTGTGCAGCGGCGCCCACGCATGTCCAAGGTGGCGTTGGCGAAACCGCACTTCGTGAGGAAGGTCCCCACGGCATCTTAAATGCGTCACAGCTCCTCCACGAGGGCCAGTCCAAGCCACTGAGCTCATGCCAAACCATGTCGGCAACGTTGTGGCTTGCTTCTCCGTCTCCCATCTTACGCTGAATATCTGAAAAGAACGGTGGAAATGAGGAGAGGCATCAGCACCAGGAAGTGAAGCACGACACTTCGGTATAATCTCCTCCCATACCTGTCTCCTCGTAGCATCTAGCACCTTCCGAGGGAACGTGCCCACCCATTTACGGCAACGGTCCTGAGCATCACCCGGCCGACCAGGGATATGAGATAAGTCAGCACCGATCGAACTTTATGCAGCCGTCGACGAGTTTGTCCCACCACCCTTGCGACGCTTCGCACCAGACGCCCAGCTAGCAGCTGTCGAACCACAGTCCGAAGTCCCTGGGTTCGTCGCCATCTCATTCTTCAGCTGCTTCACCGCCGCAAGACACTGATCGTACTTGGTATTGACCTTCGCGTCTAGCGTCACCAGCTGCTTTTGCATGTCCTGGTGGGCGGAGGTTCAGGAGGCCCTGCACCGACTGGACCGTTGCGCTCATACGTTCGAGCAGCACCGTGTGATGCTTGTTTTGGTTTCCGCTTATATTCTGCAGCATCACCGTGAGGTTGACCATCTCCGCCATGGGAGCGGACGAGCGTACCTTCAGGCTGTTGGTACAGTCTCAGAGGCAAAATGCGTGAGAGTGAAAGACAAAAGTGCTGCATCCCCTGTTCAGGGGACGTCATCAGGGCTGCTCTCGCGCTCGGTCGCTCTGGACCAACCTCGAGAAATGTTTTACTTGAGCCAAAATGGCTTGAGCCAAAATGGCTACGGAGGAAAACGATGATGATGAGGAGGAGGAGGGCAGGACAGGGCGAGAGGGAGGAGAGAGGGAAGGAGGTGGGAGGGGAAGGGAAGGAGAGGAGGACGAGGGGAAGAAAAAGGATGAGGAGAGGTAGGAGGTTGCATGACGAGAAGGTGCGAGGTGGGAGGAGAGCAAAGGAGGACAAAAGAGGGGGAGAAGGGAGGGAGGGAAAGCTGTGTTGGATTGCGACGCGGATGAAGCTGAGAGCCTGTCAGCAAAGACCGGCACTGGAACTGGCGTACGATTTCGTGAGACCCAGGAATTCTGCACGGGCGCCAAGTACGCAAGAACAGTAAAGGAGCCTCAGCGACGAAAACCGACAGGACGCCGCGCCCCGAAGCGCTGAAGCCAGAGATGAAGCAAAGCCAACCCACCTCCAACGGAGGGAGGAAGGGAGGGAGGGATGGAAGGACGGAAGAGAGGGAGGAAGCTGGGAGAACGGGGACTCCTCCTCCTCCGACTCCTCCTCCTCCTCTCCCGCCCCCTCCTCCTCATCATCCTCCGCCTCGTCCTCCTGCACCTCCTCCGCCTTCTCCTCCTCCTCCTCCTCCTCCACCGCTTCATATTAGTTTTCTTATTATTCGTCGTCTTATTATTCTTATTTGTCTTATGTCTATTCCTATTGTTGTTATTACTATTATTATTACTATGTATTACTAGTGATATTAGTCGTATGTGTCTTATTAAACTAATATCATTAATACAACTGTGTTTTTTATATATATAACATATCAGTACGAGTAGCAGTCGTAGTCGTGTTGTTAGTACTAACATTATTATTAGTGTTCCTACTATTGGTATTATGATACATCGTCTTCCCTCAGTGTTCGAGTTATCATAAGTAGCAGTATGAATATTAGTGGTACTGCTATTACGATTTAGAAAAATGCTTGTTCTATAATCATGGTTCGTCTTCTTCGATCTCTTCATCTTATTACCACTATTCGTCTTCGTAGTTTTACTCATCGCCAGTATTATTAGGATTCGTCTGCTTTGTTTGGCTAGTTGCCCCTTCGTCATAACCTCAGCATCATTAGTATTATAATTCGTCTTATTAGTAGTGTGTGATTCGTCTTATCATTCGTATCGTTACTCTTATTAGTTATACAATTATTAGTCTCACTCGTACACCTTGTATTAATACTATGATGATTCGTCCTGTTATCATTATGAGTACTATCATCATTGATATTAGTCGTTTTCTTCGTCCCCTTCCTCTTCCCAGTCTTCCTCCTCCTCCTCCTCCTCTTCCTCCTCCTCCTCCTCTGATTACTGCATGCTGCCCAGCCGCAGAGACGGGAGCAACCCCGCCGCCACCGCTGCCCGATAGGCGGCGCCCCCGAAGGGCGCAGGGCGCCCACGCCGCCCCTGCGGGAGCGCCGCGCTCCGCCGGGGGGGCCGTCGGCGCGGCGGGCCGCGGCCGCCGCCGCCGACCCTCGACCACCGACCGCTGACCGGGGGGGGGTCCCAAAATGGGTCCCGGGTGGGGTCCCGGGCTCCTCCTCCTCCTTCTTCGCCTCCGCCTTCTCCTCCGCCTCCTCCTCCGCCTCCTCCGCCTCCGCCTTCTCCTCCGCCTCCTCCTCCTCCTCCTCCTCCTCCTCCGCGTCCTCATCCTCCTCGGGGGGGGTCTTAGGGTGACCCAGAAGGGGGTTCAGCTGAAAAGGGGTGACGCAACAGATTTGGGGCAACCGTGTTGCAAAAGTGTATTGCGCCGGAGAGTTGTGTTACACTGTACTGCAGTTAGTGTCTTGCACGCGAACATCAAGCAATACTTCTGCGCACTGGAATGTATTGCACGTCCCAAATCTACTGCAACCCCGCAATTATTTTGCACCAAATCTATTGCACCATCCCCTTGTCGCTGGGCCCCCTTGTTGGGTCAACCAGAATTGGGGCGGTCCCAGTGGATCCCGGGGGAGGTCCCCGCGAGAGCACTCCCCTGAGAAAAGCTTTCGGCTGCAAAGCATCGTCGTCGTCGTCGTCGACAGAGTCATCGTCGACAGCGTCGACGATCGTCGGTCATCGGCGTCGACGGCGTCGCTGATCGTCGCCAACGCCGCAGATCGCCGTCGTCCTGTGGCGCACGTGGTACCGCCGCGGGCCCTTCGGCTCCACGAAGCCGAAGATCTCGCAGCCCGCGCGGCACAGCGCGAGACCCTGGCCGACCACCGCCACGTTCCTGGCGGCCGCCCCTCGATGGTCGTCGTCGCCGCCGTCGCCGATCCTCGGAGCTCGATCGGGCATCGAGGACCGAGGGTCGACGACGACAGCCACGACGACGACGACGATCGAGCATCGAACATCGAGCATCGGCGATGACGACAAAGGCGATGGGTGGCGTCCTCGTCGTCGTCGTCGCCGCCGTTATCGCCGCCGCCGTCTATCGTCGCCGCGGTCCGCCGTCTTCCTCTTATTCTTAATACTACTAGTGTTATCATCATGCTCATTATTCGTATTACTTTTATTATTATCATGGTCGGTATATATATATATATATATATATATATATTTGTAGTAGTCTTACTCTTAGTCTTACTCTTACTAATACTCTCATGATTAACACTCGTAATAGTATGGTTATTCGCATCGCTGCTCTTGCTATCACTGGTGTGCTTGTTGCTGATTGCTAGTAGCTATTGATACGGTTGTCCTTACACGTTTCATATTAGTGATCGTGTTGATACGTCTTACTCGCATTCGTATGATCAATCCTATTCTTACTACGTGTGATCATTATTATTGTTACTAGTATCTTTCGTCTTCTTCTTGATCTGAATATGATCCCTGTTGTTCTTGACAGAACCCTCAAACAGTGTTTGCATTCAGGGGGCGATATTTCTCCTCTGATGAACTGTGCCCCATAGGTTGTTGAGCGGCTATGTTCCCGCCGTCGCCACCCCGTCGCCGCCCTGTGGCCGCTTCGTCGCCGCCCATCGCCGCCGTTGTAGTGGACCACATAGATTGTACGAACAAAATCGCGCTTGCGGCGGCCATGTTTGATGATCGCTCAAAACACAAACTGTTCAACATATAGCGCACACCATAAATTGCAACGCATGGATTGCGATACGTAGATTGGCAAGCTACAGAACCCCACACGCTGCACCGTATCCATCGCACCACATGGACTGTACAACGTAGATTGCACAACCACATGGATAGCGCCACAGATGTTGCACAACATAGTGCGCCACATAGGTTGCACAGTGTAGAGAGCGCACATATAGTGCTCTGCAGATGTTGCCCCGCATAGATTGCAGCACATAGGTTGCATCACATACATTGCCCCACATATATAGCTCCACATTGACTGCACCACATAGATTACAAAACCTAGTGTGCACCACATCGATTGCACAACATGTGACTGCGAACAAAAATGAATTGCACGACGCAGATTGCACAACAGATGCTTTCTTTTCCGGAAGAAGGAAAAACAAAAAAAAACAACGATTCCACCAACCTCCCGAAAGCGGACTTGTGATCACCCCCTGTGGATGTGCAGATTACATACGATTGTGCCTATTGCTCTTATCAAATATGAACCATACATTGCCAGCCCAGCCGGTATCGACCCACGCCCAATCTTTTTCAAAGGATAATGTGCGCGAGCGCTCGTTTACAACAGGTCGTCCATGTTCAACCACCCATGGCAAAAGGGCACAAAATACAGACGCGCGCGTCGTCACGAGCGCATGCCGAAATCCTTCAAAGACCCTTGCCATCGCAAAGATTTCGAAATCAAGCGTCACGGAAAGCCATGCAAACACATGGTTTGACAAGATATTGTCCACAACATGTTTGCGCGCGCACCCGTGCAAACTCTTCAAAAACCATCGGCGGTTCGACGTGCTTATCAAATTCGACCAAGCACGCTCTCGCGCGCGCATGTCGAAATTAGTCGAACGCCCTTGCGCGCGTGCTGGGTGGGGGCACGTTCCTTGTCAAATCACACCATGCAGCTCAGTCGCGTGCGTCGGAATGTACAAATCGTTTCACAACTTTCATCACCGACGCGTGGACATCATTACCAAACACTCATCGAAATCGATGCGGCACGGGTTTTGCAAACCAAGCTGCGGGCGGGTGGGCAATATGATTGCGCGAGCATTGGAGTTGACAGTTCCGAACCTGTTCCAAACTAATTGCACCACATGCACATGGATATGTACATGTATAGGTACATGTATATACACTCGCAAACACATTCACACATGCATGCATACATACAAACAGACAAGCATACATACATATACACACATACATACACACATACATACATATGGATGTAAGTGTATTTGTGTACAACTACTGCATCACAAAAATAACTCCTCATAAAATGCATGTCCGAGCTTGCTTCGCATTGGTAGCACCACGCTTACTGTTAGAAACGCATTGTTGGGGGTCCACGTTGCCAGCATTCGTGTTATCAGTACGATTCCAATCATGGAAGATTAGTTGCTGTCGCTGGCCCACATCCACTCAAACTCGGACATGGGGGCACCCCCCAAGGTACGTCCTGCCCGCTTTATGGACTGCGTATGGCCGCGCAAAAAGAAGGCCTGCAAAAACGCGCAAATATTTCTGGAGCGAAGTCGTGCGACCGTAAGCCGTAAAGAGCAACAACAAAACATTGGAACGGGCGGTTCTGGCCCCGGCGAGCTTCGGCAACGAAAGGGTCCCCCCCGACCTAGGTCCAAGGAAGGGCCGAGAACCAGAGCCCATCCTGAGCTGTACATCGTCTTCCCCATACCTCCACAGGACGAGTGATCGGGCCCCTAAAATCCCAACCTCTATGTTGCATCCCTGCTGTTGTTTGACGGCCCTGGGGCCCGTAGCGGGCCTCCAGGGGCTGAAAGCGGGAGGCGCATGTACGTTGGTCAGCGGCCGCAAGAGGGTCAGACGGCGGTCGAGCAACGGCGGTGCGCGCCGAAACACAGCAAGGCACAACGATAACAGAACGCGCCAAAGCGCGAGGCGCTGGCCTACAAAGGGGGAAAAACAGCACGGCACTGGAAATCGAGGCCGTCGGAGGTATGGGTGTCGCGGGCGCTGTCATCGGCGGCGTCAGCGGCTTCGACTACGTCGGCGCCGTCGTCCCCGCCGCCGCCGCCGCCGTCGGCGTCGCCCGCCGCCACCGCCACCGCCATCGTCGTCGCCTGGGCCGCCGTCGTCGGCCGCGCGCCTGGCGACCACGGTGGCGAGCGCGACGTCCGCCGGGCTCCGGAGGCGCACCGTGGCCGCCACCCCGCTCGAGCCGGGGCGGAGCGGGTCGGGCCACTCGACGCTGACCTTCGGGCGCCGCTCTCGTCCTCGTGCTCGTGCTCGTCCTCGCCATCGCCCTCGTCCTCGTCTTCGTCCTCGCCGTTGTCCTCGCCGTCCTCGTGCTCGTGCTCGTGCTCGTCGTCGCCCTCGTCCCCGTCCTCGTCTTCGTCCTCGTCGTCGTCATCGCCGTCGCCGTCGCCGTCGCCGTCGCAGGGGTTCCGCTGGGTCGGGGGGCGAGGCTGCACGAATCGTTTTCACCGGCGGCCCTCTTCGCTGGCGGCCGTCTCCGCTGGCGACCGTCTCCGCTGGCGGCCGTCTTCTCTTGCAGCGGCCGTCTTTGCCGGCAGCGACCGTCTTCGCCAAGGTTGTTTTCGCCGCACTATCCTGGAGGCCTCCCAGAGCAGCTCCGACTTGACTTTCAAAGACCCCCCAAGTCTTCTCGAGACCGCCATGAGACGGGAGACCGCCGGGAACCTCCAGGGAACTCCATGGGATGGGAGGATCGCGCCGCATGGCCGATGCATCGGCGACGCACCGGCAACCTCGGGATAGAGAGGCGTCGGGCTACGCGTCGCGCCGTATCGGCGACGCGGCGTGATCTTCCGACCCCATCTACGTACATAGGTCGAAGGGGATCAAAAAAGGCAGCAATTGTCAACAACACTCATTGTAAGCCTGTTCGCTCTTATCTGCCCGCGCGCCATCCAACACGTATATCCCAAACCCTCGATACCCGCCCTCTTCGTCTTAGATCGTACCCCCCCTTGAGGAATATGTTCCCTACCTGCCGCATGTAGTTGGCGCAGCCGCTAAAACAAGGGAATGAAGGGAACGGGAAGAGACAAGTGGGAGGGAGAAGGATAGCGCACGAGAGATTTCAAACAGGAGGGTTAGGAGCAGGAGTACAAGCGGCAGAACCAGACGAGCGGGTCGGGGGGGCGGACCCTAACGGGCAGGTCGGGCGGGCGGGCCCAGACGGCCCGGGCGAGCGGGCGGGTCGCTCAAGCGTCAATCCAACATGAATCGCGAGGAAGTTCCGAGCTACAGCGCGATTCCCAAATCCATCGCGAGGAAATCTAAAGTGAGAGCGTGATTCTTGAGTCTAGGTGACACGGCGCCGCAATAAATTGAAAACTACCACGCGAGAGCGCGATTCCTGCATACACTATGAGGTAGTCCCGCGCGAGAGCGCGAACTTGAAAAATTGCGATGACAAAAATCAATCGCGAGCCGATTTCTCATTGCCAAAGACTGATGATTGCTGATCCCCCCTCCAGAAATCATTGCATTTTGCAATGAAAAGGCTTCTTATGGGAATCGCACCCTGCCAAGGGAAAGTGAAGTGTCACCAAACTATGTTGTTGGCCCCAGCTTACCACCACCACAACAACAACAGCAACAGCAACAGCAACAGCAACAGCAACAACGACACTCATTTTAAGACTGTTCGCTCCGATCTGCTCCCGTGCCAATCAGTACGTAAATTCCAAACCCTCGGTACCCGCCCTCGTCGTCTTCGATCGTACCCCCTTGGAGGTATATCTTCCTTACCTGTCACGTGCATTTAGTGCAGCTCCTACAGAAGGGAAAAGATGACGGGTTGAAGGGGGAGGGAGAAGAATGGAGCACGAGAGACATTGGCAGGAGGGGGGCAAGGAGCAGAAAACAAGTGGTAGAACCAGACTGGCAAATCGGGTGGGCAGATCCATAGCGGACATGTCGGGAAGGCGGGCCCAGGCGACCAGGTCGAGCAGGCGGGTTGCTGAAGCATGGGTTCTGCATGAATCGCGAGGAAGTCTCGAGCGAGAGCGCGACTGCCAAATGCATCGTGAGAAAAGCCAAAGCGAGAGCGTGAATCCTGAGCGCCGAGGGCGCATCGTCTGAATACATTGCGAGGAAGTCCCACGCGAGAGCGCGATGCGTACAAGAAGTGTGAGGAAGTCCCGCGCGAGAGCGCGACTTGGGCATACACTGTGAGTAAATATTTGGCGGGAACCACTGTTGTTGTAAACCGTGGGCCAAAGGCCAAATTTGAGACCCGTCACTTTCCCGGATAGAAAATTAACGTGTGAGCCCCGGGGGAAACACTTCAAATGATCACCCGAGAAGGGGATCATCAATAATTATTCTTCAGTAGTGAGAATTCAACGGCTCCCGCTTGATACTCCTTTCCAATGTATTCCTAAATCGCGCTCTCGCGCGGGAGTTCCTCACAATGTATACAGATGTCGCGCTGTCGCGTGGGACTTCCTTATAAATTACTCAGACGCCGCGCCCTCGACACTCAGGAATCACGCTTTCGCCGCTGTGGATTTCCTCACGATTTATTTGGGAATCGCGGTATCGCTCGAGACTATCTCACCATTCATGCAGGACGCACGCTTCAGCAACCCGCCTGCCCCTTGTCCCTGCCTTCCATCCGTCCTCTCCTTCCCCTGCTTAAGGGGCTGCACGAAATACACGTTGCAGGCAAGACAGATATACCCTTAAGGGGGAGGTCGAAGAAAACAAAGGCAAGTATAGAGGGTTGGGATGTATGTGTTGAATGTCGAATGGCAAGCGAGCAGATGAAATCGAACAATTGTAAAATGATTGTTGGTGTTGCTGTTGTTGTTGTTGATGATGACCCCCCCTGCCCGTAACCATTACATTTTTCAATTTGAAATGCTCCTCCTTGCACCCTGCTTTGTACAAGGGGCAGCTGGGAGTCACCAAACTGCTCCCTGGCCCCTGGTTTACAACAACAACAATAACAACAACGACTCCCGCCTGATACTTCCTCACTAATCATGACAGAATCCCGCTCTCGCGCAGGACTTCGTCATAGTGTATGCAGGAATCGCGCGCTCGCGTTGGACTTCCTCGCAATGCATTTAAACGCCGCGCCATCGACGCTCAGGAATCGCGCTACTTTGGGAATCGCGCTATCGCTCGAGACTTCCTCGCGATTCATGCAGAACTCACGCGTCAGCAACCCGCCTGCTCGACCTGGCCGCCTTGGCCCGCCTCCACGACCCTCCATTATTGTAGGGTCTACCCGCTCGATCAGCCCGTCTGATTCTGCCACGTGTTTTCTGCTCCTGGCGCCCGCGTCCTGCTAATACCTCTCGTGTTCCATCCTTTTCCCTCCCCCATCCGTCCTCCCTTCACCTGGTTTACGGGCTGCGCTAAATGCACGTGGCAGATAGTGAAGACATACCCGCAAGGAGGTACGATCGAAAGAGGGCAGGCATCGAGGGTTCGAGGTATACATGTTGAGTGTCACGCGAGCAGGAAAGAGCGAACAGTCTTTAAAAAGGCGGTGCTGTTGTTATTGTTGTCGCTGTTGCTGTAAACCAGGTGGACCCAAGAACAGTTCGAGGACCATATTCCCTGACAAGAAACAAGGTGCGAGCCCTGAAAGGAGCAGTTCAATTGAAAAAGACAATGTGCATCGGGCAGGGGGGATCAACACAAATTCAACAACGCAAACACACTGTTCAACTGGGTCCTGGTGCACTGCTCCTGGTTTCGCTACTGGTCGTGAAAACACCCACTGGTGCAATGTTGCACCCCCCCCCCCCCCCCCCCCCCCCCCCCCCCCCCCCCGCAACAGCGCAACAGCGCAGCACGCCTCCATTCGAGGGCGGCGACACCCAACGTGTCTTCAAGATTCCCTGGCCCACCCCTGCTAGGGAGATCCTACATTGTCTCCTGGCGCCGACTTTCTGTAGTAAGCAAACGAATAGGAGCTGATGAAATGGCTGCAGCAGGACTTGCAGTCGGAGCTGAAGAGGAGCGGTAGTAGGAGATGTAGTAGGAGCTCGGATAACAGCTGTAGCAGGCGCTGTCGCAGGAGCTGCACGAGTTGCAACAGGACGAGCTGCAACAGAAGCTGCAGTAGGAACTGCTGTAGAAGCTCTAGTAATAGACGTGGCAGGAGTCGTCGTGGGAACTGTAGCAGCAGCTGCAGAGAAGAACTGCACTGGAAGTCTCCGCAGGAGCTGAAACTGACGGTGTAGTGGTGGCTCTGGCAGGAGCGGCCATGAAAGATGTAGCACGAGCTGTTGCAGCCGCTGCACAGGGCGGCTGCAGCAGGAGCAGCAGCTATCTGAACGGCAGTCTTCGGGCGGGCGCCGCGCAGAGGGGGCGGAGAGGAGAGGAGAGGAGAGGAGAGGAGAAGGAGGAGGAGGGGGTGGAGGAGGGGTAATTAAGAGAAGGAGGAGGAGGAGGCGGATGAGGAGGCCGCGGCTTGCGTTCGTCGAGGCGACCCCGCCCTGCGCTGAAAAGGGCGCGCGGGGCAGCCGCGGGGCAGCCGCGGGGCAGCCGAAGCAAAGCGGGCTCTTGGGCGGCATCGCCGCGGGACGCCGCGACATAGCCGCAGCAGCACGACTGAGGACGGCTCACAGCTGCAGCACTGCTGTAGCACAGCGACGGGGTAGCATGTCGGCGACACAGGGACGATCTTCCACGAAGGGGATATCCATAGGAACTACATCCTTGACAGGAACAGACACGGTCACGGACCTGGCGGACACAGGAAAGGAAAGCAACGTGGAGGGCGAACGACAAGAGAGCGCCGAGACGGCACAATATGCACACGCAAGTCCGGGCATATATAACTCGGTGTGAAACGGCAGGTGCATGCGCAATTGAATGCATGCCCTGGTTGTTGAACAGGTGTAGGAAATTCCGGGGCATGTGATCTCTTACAAACATCAGTAAGAACAGGCGTCGGTAGGTCGAAACGGCGAGACACACATGGCCAATAATTGGAGGGCAGTGTGGAAACGCATGCGCGCGCGAGAAAACGCGCGCAACTGAACACGCACACACGAGAACGCGTGCGTGAATACAATGGCGCGCACATGAACTTTCACTGGAAGCGATCGGCGTGAATGGACTCAGGGAATCGCTTTGCCCCCCCATGCGTCGCCCTCTTCCTAAAACCATGGGTCTGAAGCTCTTCCCCCGCGATGGGCTAGAGCGCCTAAGATGGCCCAAAATGGCTCCGCGACGGCCCCAGAAAGCCCACGATGACCTCAAATATGACTCATGAGCACCCAACGTCGTTCAAGATACCTTCCAATTTGCCTCCGAGATGCCCCGCGGCCGCCCCAGGGCGGCTCCAAGTGGCCGCGGCGCTCCCCCAGGAGGCCCCCAGGAAGCCCAACTCCTTTAATGACAATGCTACGAACAAGTTGGTGTCGCCTTCTCGTTGTTTCGAGCAGTGTCCGCAGGCAGCAATGCAACTATAATGATGATACCGACTGTGTGGGGCCGGACGGAGCGCCGCGTGCCGCTGGTATTGGCGACCGAAACACATGTTCAAGTGTAACATGACAGCGCCAGACTGCGCCGGGACAGCCGCGGGACAGCCACGGGACAGCCGCGGGACAGCCACGGGACAGCCGCGGGACAGCCGCGGGACAGCCGCGGGACAGCCGAAGCAAAGCGGGCCGTCGGGCAATAAAGCTGCGGCCCGGGCCAGTAAAGCCGCGGCCCGCCGCGGGACAGCCGCGGGACAGCCGCGGGACAGCCGCGGGACATCCGCGGGACAGCCGCGGGACAGCCGCGGGACAGCCGAGGCGCAGGCGAGGCAAACATGAGGCCAAAATGCTATGGGAGCACTGGGAATGGCCTTCAATCGAGTTGTCTGGCATTGAAGATTATCCATGGTTCGGATGACGAGGAAGGGAGCGAAGGAGGTAGGAGGGGGGCGAAGGAGGGAAGAGGGAGGAGGGAGGAGCGAGGAGGGAGGGAGGAGGGAGGATGAGGGAGGAACGAGGAGGGAGGGACGAGAAGGGAGGAGGGAGGACCAAGGAGGGATGAAGGGTGGAGGAGCCATGGCAAAGAAACGAATGAGTGAACCCGACGTCGGGGTCACATAAGCCCCCGCCATCAAAGTGCATATTGGGGCTGGTCTTGTGGGGGGTGATTGCCGTGGGAGGGAGTCCAAGGGCGCGGGATGAGCGGGAAGGTTTTTTGCTGATGATTTCTATGTGCTTGTGCAATTGTATTGCAATAAAACGGACTGCCATTTTCCCGCACAACCAAAATAAAAAAACAACAAACGAACGGGGGAAAGGCGCGCGCCACCTGCATCTCACGGGCGATCCCGCTGGACGCCCGTGAGCGCGAAAACCGCGAAGAGACCCGGACCGACGAAAAGCGCGAGAGACCCCTAAACCTTGCAAGATCTTGCAGTGCCCACCCAATCGGCCAGGGCAGACGAAGGCGCCCGTGCGGGGCGCGCGCATCATCACAGCGACAACAAAAAACACGCCATGTCCTGAAGCTCGCAGAACGCATCGTGGAGCGATGGCGCACGCACAGATCCGCAGTCGAATCGGGTTGAAGCTCGCTCGGGCTGCGCTAGAGCAGACCGGCGCGCCCGACACTCAAACGCGCCGAAGCTCTAGCTACTCGCGCACGCAGAAAAGCTGCTCGCTCAATGAAAAAAGCCACGCTCGCAGGAAAGCTGCTCGCCCACAGGGCACGGCTACATTTCGGCTTTTCTTGGGCGGAATTATGCGAAGGGGGGGGGTCAGTTTAAGCCGCGGCCTCCTCAGAGGCGGAGGAGGAGGAGGGCGCCGCGCAGAAAGGGTGCGGAGAGGAGAGGGGCCCAGGCCTCCGGCCACGGCGCGGCCCCCGCGCAGCCAGCCCTGGCCTGCGATGCGTGTGCTGCCGGAGGTGCCCCTGGCCAGAGGTGCCCCCAGCTCTTGGCTCCGCTTTGGAACCCCCTGGATTATTGGCTCCGTTTTGGCTCTTGGCTCCGTTTTGGAGCCCCCAGCTCTTGGCTCCGTTTTGGCTCTTGGCTCCATCCAACTCATGGTGGTGGTGGTGGTGGTGGGAAACAGGAAGGGGAAGAGGCGCTCTCCCTCGGGTGTTGCTAGAAGTACCCCTGGCTCCATGTTTGCCCCCTGGGGGCCTCTGGGCCTCGCGAGGGCACTTCTAACATCAGGTCGGGCATGCCCCCCTACAGGCGGATTTGGGACGATCAGAAAATACACAGAAAATGACCGAAAGTATTCAAAAATTGTCGAAAAATCGTCCCCTGACTATTCTGAATTGTTCTGTAAGGTTCCCACTGTAGAGAGACAGGCCCGACTTGATCCTAGCAACACCCGATGCGACGCGGCGGGTGCCAGCCCCGAGCGGCGCTCCACGGAACTCGCGTCGCCAAGGGCGCCCCGCGCCCACCCTCACGCAGAGGTGGCAGGCGCGGCAGGGCCAACGAACATGAGCACGCCCTCGCGGACAGCGGCGGGGGAGCAAAACGGATCATGAAGTCGGGCGTGTACCCCTACAGCGGGATTTTGGAGGAAGAGTAAACAGTTCCCCAAAAAGATTCAAACATGATCAAACATACGCAAAAATCGTCCCCTGACTTTGCTTTGACTATTTGGGAATATTCCTCCTGTAGAGGGACATGCCCGACTCAACGGTACCAATGACGCGCCACAAGTGGGGACCTCATCAGCACGTCGCCGGTAGGGAAGCACGTCGCTCTCGGCCTCCGTCTTCTCCTTCCCGAGACCGTGCGGATCCCGCACGGTCGCCGCGCGCGCTCTCCACGTGAGCTTCGCGCGCGCGCGCCCTCGCCGACAACGTCGGGGGAGCAAAACCAAGACTCTTGGTGTTTTCTATATTGGAGAACCATTTCCCTCGATACACTAGGCGGCCAAAGGGTCACTATCACACAGAATTCTGTCGCAACGCTCGTGAGCCAACAGCTCCCCGATGCAATGCAAGGAAGCTAAAAAAGCGAAGAAGGAGGTGGGAGGGGCCAGGATGACTGCAGAGAGCCAAAGAGCCCGGCCTCCCGTTCCCCGAGGAAAACCGTCAAGGACTGAAATCCTCGATGCACTAGGCGGCCGGGGTAGGGAAGCGGAGTGCCCGGAAAGGCTATACAACCCTCAAGGTGACCCGTCAAACTGGCAACATGTTTTACTCAGACGGGTCGGGCCTACAGGCACGTACAAGCACGAGAGCATTCACAGGCACATCAAATCGTGAAATAACCAAAGGGTCACTATCACACAGAATTATGTCGCAACGCTCGTGAGCCAACAGCTCCCCGCAATCTCCAGGATTCCCTGGGGCCTACGGGTGGGTGGGTGGGTGACCTCATTCACAATATCAAGCATTTTTCTTCCTATCTTTGAAAGCAGAACAGAGCAGCTGGGGCAACCTCGACACTAGCCATGCCAGCTCATCCACGGACTCCTGCACGCGGGCTTGGCCGAGAATGGAGGGCTGCTTCAAGATGCGGCCCTTCTTCTCGTATCGTCGGCAGGAAGCGATGACGTTCCACCGACCACGCTTCTGGATCGTGAGGGTGTCGATCCCGTTCAGTGCGTCGACTGAGGCCCCTCCATGTCGGAGGCTGCGTGGACATAGCTTGAGGTCGCCGAAGTTCAAGGCCTGACAGGCCCGCCTGAAGATCAGCTCGTATTTCTGGGCGGCGAGGTCAGGGAAGAGGTATTCTCCGGGCTTGACGGCCTTCAGGATCTGGACCAGGATCGCTCGCAGGACTGGCCTGCGCTCTGGTGCCGTCTCGCTAACGAGGACCGTGTCGTCGCAGGCACCCGCCTTCGTCGGCTTCCCGAGCTCCTTCGGTGCAACGATGAGGGGGTAGAAGCTCCGAAGGCCCGAGCGAGCTCGGGGGGGGGCAACCTGGTCCCGACCCAACGAGATCGCCACCAAGATCCTCAGATAGGTGTCGAACATGAGGAGGGTCAGGCCGGCCGCCTGGACCGACTCGATCGAGCCGTGCCGGGCCATGAAGACCGCCAGAAAGATGGCGCACTCCCAAGGAGCGCCATCCCGCGACACGCTGCACGAACTCTTGCGGTAGCCTTGTAGGGCCTTCCGAGTGAGCGGGAACGCCGACGTCTTTGACCACGCGAGGTTCTGCTCGTACATGAGTCCGTGCACTGTGTTGTTCGGCCGAGAGATCGTCTCCCCATCGAAATACAGCTTGTGCAGGTGCTGCTCCATGGCCACGTCCAGCTCCTGGTACGTGGTAGTGGGCACCATGGCGCTCTTGCAAAACAGGTAGAACAGCTTCACTGCCTCGGTGTGCGCGCGCAAGGTCTTGGCGGAGATCGAGCGGCTCTTCAAGTACCCCTCCTGCCGAGAGCCTCCTGCTCTGGTGGCCCTCGCTCGTGCTCGGTCGGAGCGCAGGGCGCCCGCCTTCGGCTCGCCCGAGCCTCGGCCGGTCGAGCCTGGCGCTGGGAGGCCCACAGTGGTCAGCAACTTGGTGGCCCCCCTTGAAGCCGAGAGTAGCGATGGCTTGCCGCCTCCTCTCGGCACTGGACCCGCACATGGCGTGCCCTGTCGCGCGCCCCCATCCAGTGGCAAACCGCCGTGGACACGTCGGCGTGGCGAACGGCTGCGGGGCGACCCCGACCTCGCCCGCCAGCTCATCGGCACAAGACTGGCAGTGCACTGGCCCCCCCGCTCGAAGAAACGCCCCGGGCGGAGCAGCCTGTTTGAGCCCAGCGGCATACACGCGGCAAAACACCAGGCGGATAGGCTGCGGCCAACGATATTTTCCAACGCCAGGCAGGACGACCGCTTGGGCCCTCGACCTTGACCTTGCCCTCGAGGATCTCGCGGGGGACTCGGCAGTTGCACCTCCTATCCAGGGCCCCGAGAGAGACCGCGTTAGTAAAGAATATCGTAGACTTCTTGAACGGGGCCCCGTACCTGCACGCGTCGTACCTGACAGGACTGCACGAGCACTTCTGGAGCTCCCTCTTTAGTGGCTCGTAGGACCAGATCCCAGATGAGGCCGGGTTCTCCACCGAGACCGTGACCCCGCACTGACGACATACCCGTAGAGCACGACAACTGAAGAGCGCCAACTCCAGGCCCCTGGTGACCTCGTTGGTGTCCTCGGAGCCAGTAGATCTTGCCTGGGACCAGCGGGTGCACGGCGGAGACAGGTGAACACGCCAAACTCTTCCTTCTCGATTCCAACGGATGACCCTACACTGAACACGTGAGTTGAGCAGGTCGAAGTGTTTTCCGTTCGCAACATCGATCGGACACAAGATGCGCAGGCCGGCCTGCGCACAGGCTCCCGACAGGCGTCCGCAGCCGGCAAACAACTCGAGGATGCCCAACGGCCTCCTCGTCTGGCGCTCGCTCCGTGAGCGGCTCGGGCACTTGCCCTCGGCCGTCCGCACCGGCGCGGCCGCCTGGCTGGCAGCCGCCGCTCGCAGTCGCCCGGCCAGGCGGCCAGGCCGCAGCGCCTCGCCCGCCTTCAGGACGCCCTTGTCCGCAAGGCGGGAGTCGGCGTCCGTCGGGTTGCGCTGCTCGCTCGCCCTCCCCGAAGCGCTGCGGGATCCCACGCCGTCGCCGCGCGCGCTCTCCGCGGAGGCGGCGCGCGCGCGCGCCTCGCCGTCAAGACGCCCCCACGAGGAGCGGCGCGCTCCCACGCCCAACCTGGCCCGGAGCCGAAGCCTTCGCACGCTCCTCCTCCGGCCCCGCCTCCGCCTGCGCCCCCGCCTCCTCCTCCCCCTCCTCCCCCCCCTCCTCCTCACCCCCCCCCTCTGGGTATCGAACTCCCCTGGGAACGGGTGAAGCACAGGCGGGCGGGTCGGGAGATCGTTTCGGCCGTTCCAAAGCGCTGTGCGTTTCAAAGAAAGAAGGAAGGGCCTAAGTAAGAGGAAGGGGCGGAAGGGACACCGTTGTGGATAAGCCAACGAACTCTACCTCCGCGCTCACGTTCTAGTAAAGCCAGCCTCAAACACACAAGCATTAGACTTCAAACACACAAGCATTAGACCTCAAACACACAAGCATTAGCGATGGCGATGACTCTCTTGCTTCCCCTGTAGGCCCTAGGCGAATGATCATATCATGGCACCTTGTGTCAGCCTGCGCCGCTGGCTTACTTGTCTGATTCGCATTCTGTGTTCCAATTGCGTGTTTGACGGCCTCCTCCTCCCTCTTCCTCCTCCTACTCCGCCTCCTCCCCCTCCTCCTCCTCCTCCTCCTCCTCCTCCTCCTCTCCTCCTCCTGGTCCTCCTCATCCTCTCCTCCCCCTCCCCCTCCTCCTCCTCCTGCTCCTCCTCGTCCTCTCCTCCTCCCCCTCCTCCTCCTCATTATTATCCTCCTCCTCCTCCTCCTCCTCCTCCTCCTCCTCCTCCTCTACCGCCCCTGGCCTTCCTCCTCCTCCTCCTCCTCCTCCTCCTCCTCCTCCTCCTCCTCCTACTCCTCATACTTATCCTCAGTTTGCTTTCGTCGCCGCCACGGCTGGACGCGCCTCGGGGCCTCGAAACTCTGGCGGCCAGGGCCCCAACCCCCGTCGGCGGATCGGCGGGAACCTCCAGAGTGAGCTGCGGACGGTTGGGCGACGACCCACTGGGGGGCAGGCGGCCCCCCGCCCCCCTCGGGCCCCCTTCCTGCCCTTCCCCCTTCAAGCGCAACAGCGGCGCCGACGGGCCCCGCGATGGCGACGGCGCCGATGCCGCGACGATGCGACGAGGGATACGACGAGCCGACGACGACGAGACGACGAGCCGCCGACGACGATGACGACAGGGGTGAGAGGGGGAGGGGAGGGGGAGGGAAGAGGATGGGAGGAGGGGAGGGGAGGGGGGGAGGGGATGGTTTCGGAGCGGAGGGGAGGAAGAGAGGGAGGGAGGAGGGCGATTTTTCGCCGATGTACTCGCCAGGCCCACCCTGACAAGGCGCTGGCAGAGGCTGTCGCGCAGTTGCCGCCTGGCGCTCATCCTTTCGGCAGCCTTGCGCCATCCTTGGCGCCCCGAGCCTCTCGCAAGGTCATGGCGACTTGCGGCGCTCTCAGACATGGCGCCAAAACGCGCCGACGGCAAGAAGCGCAAAACGCACCCAGAAAAAGACGGCGGAGAAGGTCGCCGACAAACCGTTGAAGCACTGAAGCACGATGAAAAAGTGCAGGGCCATCATCGCCAAGGTCGGACATCAAGTTGATGTCCGACCTTCCGATGATGGCGCAGGCTCGCGATCAGGCTGCGCCCAGCGCGGCCAATGCGCACGCCCGCAATTCAGCCAGACGCGCTCCTCGCGAGCGCGAGCGCGACGCGCGCCAGGAGGAAGAAGCTGGGGGGGAGGTGGAGTCCGACGTGGACTCGTTCGCTCCGGACACGGGCTCGAAAAAATGGACCACGACTTCTCGGGGCCGGGCTCGTCTGGGCCAGGCGCAGGCGCGGTCGTGGTGGGTTGATTTGGCGGTGCGCCTACTGAGCGTGGAGCGTCGCGCCGGTGGCAGGCACCGACGCAGCTGTCGTAGAGTCGCGGAGCCTGCGCTATGGAGGGGGAGTGAGTTGAGAGGACGAAGAGGCGAGGGATGATAGGGATGATGATGGGGGGGGGGCGGGACAGGGAGGGGGGGGCGGAAGGCGAGAGGAAGAGAAGGCTCGGAAAGTGCCAAGTGCGGCGGCCTCCGCGTCTCCATGCGCCGCTCGATGCGCCCCCCCTGAGGGCCGAGTAGCCGAGTAGAGCAGCGACGTGGAGGAGTCCGGAGGGGGAGAAGGAAGGAGGAAAAGGGGGGGGGGGAGGAGGGGGAGGAGGAGGAGGAGGAGGAGGAGGACGAGGAGGAGGAGGCATCCTGATGAGGAGGAGTAGGAGTAGGAGTAGGAGTAGGAGTAGGAGTAGGAGTCGGAGTAGGAGTAGGAGTAGGAGTCAAGCTAGCCAGCTCGAGCGAGTCAAGCATGGCATGCCCAGTCCCCACCCGCCCTCCCACAACATAAGAAGCAAAGCTGGCACAACTGGGGGCCGAAGTCACACCGGCCAGCCGGTTTGGTACAGCTGATGCGGCCGCGATGGCGGTTGCCGACATGGGAAGCTGATCCCATTCCTGCCAGGCATCCCACCAAGCCGACGTGGACGACAGGGCGCCCCTGAGAGGAGTTGGTGCGCGGCGCCGAGGCGAGAGCGACATGTCACCCCTTCGCGCGGGGTGTGCGCCGCGTCCCATTCCTGCCACGCATTTTGCGACGTGACGACAGCACGACCATGTTGACAAGAAAAACAAAAACTGTGTATTGTCTTTTGCAGATTAGAATGGGACGGATTGGATGGGCGGGCGCGGGGTGTGCGCCGCGTCCCATTCCTGCCATGCATTTTGCGACGTGGACGACAGGACGTCCATGCGACGGTGCCAATGACGGCGACGACTCTAGAAGGATTTGAGCATGCGCTCGCGGCGACGCGCGCGCATGTCGCCCGCGTGGTATTTTTTGCACAGGATTCGCGGCCTGGGTGCATGACAGAGCATCGCGAGTGCACCGCGCGATGACGTGAAATCGCTGGATTTGACCGAATTCTTAAGATTCCTATGGTTTTCCTATGATTTCAGCAAGAGAGCCCGGGCAGGAAATTTGTAGATTTTTTGTGAAAAAGCATTGGGTTTTTGATGTTTTTATGTTGAAATGCTTGCAAACACACGGTGTTCGGTAGGATTATGACATGAACGCGCGCGTGTGCTCTTTGTGGTATTTTTTGCAATGGATTATCGCCGTGGACGACAGGACGTCCATATCGAGAGGAAAAAATAAGAAACATGTTGATTTCGTATTGTTTTTTACAGGTTAGGATGGGACCACCCGGATGGGGCCCCTATCTGCCGGCCTGAGGGGGGAGTAGGAGTATATTCTAATAAGGAATAATAAAGATAGGAGGAGGAGGAGGACGAGGAAGAGGAGCAGGAGGAGGAGAAGGTTGAGGAGAAGGAGGAGGAAGAGGAGGGAGGAGGAGGAGGAGGAGGAGGAGGAGGAGGAGGAGGAGGAGGAGGAGGAGGAGGAGGAGGAGTCAGCCTTGACCCTACCATGGTGGGTCCCTGCTCGAAGCATCCTGCACGCGCTCCCCACGCTGCGCTGGCACGGTAGCGGGGCCTGCCGTCAGGCAGCCGGACACTCGGGAACCCCGGCGACAGCAGCTAAAAGAGGGCCCCGCACAATAGACGCGGGGAGGCAGGTACGGCGCCGCGAGGAGGCGGGGATTCACAGAGGGACGGACAGAGGCAGGAACATGGATTTCCCGGAGGTCCTCCGCGGATTTCTTGGATCGGGCCAGGGGCGGCGCTGGAGGCGCCGCCAGGGGGGCCCAACGCCGATGCGAGAGATCCGTGCGGGCCTCAAAGAATCATGCTTATGCATCTCGTTGTTCTTCATACGGCGTCGCTGCAAAAAATAATATTGAAAAATCGACAGAAACCCTCTGCGCCTCAGGCGCTGCTCACGGAATCCTGGGCGTCGGCCTCGTCCAGGAACTCCAGTGCTCTGCGCAGGCTCTCCGAGAGCTCGTCCATGGTGGGCCGGTCCTCGGGCTCGTCCATCGTGCAGCTGGCAAAAATGTCCTTGGTGCCCTGCTGCGCACCCTCCGGCATCCTCAGGCGCTTGCCCGCAGCGACTTGTACTACCACCGTGGGCGCCGACATGCCCTTCCAGGGGCTTTGGCCACAGACGACCTGCCACAGGAGGACGCCCGCGGCATACACGTCCGCCTTGGTGGTGAGCTCGACTTGGCGATCCATGTTGAAGAGCTCGGGCGGCATGTGCGTGACAGTGCCAAGCTGGTTCGTCAGGATTCCACTGTTCTCGCCCTCAAGGATGCGGGACAGCCCGAAGTCACAGATCTTGCACACGTAACCCTTGACGGACACCTGCGTCTTGCAGAGCACGTTATTTGCAGTCAAGTCGCCATGAATTATACCTCGAGAGTGGAGGTACGAGCCAGCGCTGGCAATCTCGCTGACGATCTGAAGAACCTCGACGTAGTCCTTGGACTCGACGCGTGGACGGCTGCAAAGCAGCCCGAGAGTGCCGGCGTCACACCACTCCTGGACGATCCAGGTTTGGTATCCTACGCCGTCGGCAGCGCCTAACTCTGCCTGGGCGAGCCCCTGTCTCTTGCCCTGCTCCCTGGCCAGGAAGAATACAAGGCGGCACCAACACCGGGGCGGGGAGATGTGAGGAGCAAGGGGGGCCTCCGTGGTGGTGTGGTCCCCCCTCTGACTCGGGAAATCCCCAGCCTCCAGCTAAGGGGGAGCATCGTGGACCTCCTCGCTGGAGGTGGCCCCCTGGTGGTGTTGGTGTCGCTTCTCCTCCCTCCGACCTGGTGCTGTACTTGTAGGTCTGCACAAGGTTCGGGTGCGACAGCGTGCAGGACAGCTCGGCCTCGAACTGCGTCTTGGCGGCGTCCGCCTTCCCCTTCCAATCTACCACCTTCACCGCCACGGGCGAGCCCAGCCACTGGGCATAGTACACCCTGCCGAAGGAGCCCCGCCCGACCTGGGGAAACCCAAAGGCACTGATACCGCTGCTCCCCGGGCCTCTCCCAGAGTGAGCTCTGACCAGGATTTCGAGGCGAATCCAGCCGTGGCGACGAGGGCCTCCCAGGAGGCCCAAGAAGTGGAAGACGGGCGACGTGTAGAGGTATGGGTACCTTTTCCTCCTCCGACGACCTGCTCCCGCAGCTGCACGTCCACAAAGGGTGGCCTCGTGGGCTTCAGCTGCACCCCCGCGCTGCGGCTGCTGTCGCCGGCAGAGAGGGCAGAGACGCAAGAAACCTGGCGCCTTTTGTCCCCCGAGTCCAGATCTGTGTCGCCGCTCTCCTCTGAACACCAGAGGACGACAAGCCCAAACTCGGGTGCCGCCAGGCGTGTGGGGAGAAAGGGTGGGGGGCCAACGCTGATCTGCGAAGTCCGCTTGGACCTCCCGTGGTCTGTGCCTTCCTGCCGTCTTCTGGTGTTCGACTCCTGCCGGTCAGCCGCGCCCGAGGTCGCCGTGGTGGTGTCCGTGGGCGGCGAGTCTGCCGCCGTGGGCTCGGCCCTCGCGGGGCAGTACTGCGAGGCATCGTCGACCACGACCATCACCACAAAGTACAGGCAGCTCTCCAGGACTCTGCCCTCGGGGCGCCATGGTGCCTCGAGCAGACGGACCGGCGGCACGGCGTCCACCGCGGCCGCGGCCACGTCCACGGGCTGGTTCGCCGGCACGAAGCGGCAGGACACGGGACAGAGGACCTCCCTGCTGGCGTCGCACATGTCCGCCGGGACTGCCCTCAGGCTCGCCGAGGTGCCAAATGTGTGCGGCTCTGCCTTCTTGGCATAAGGGGAAGCGGGTCCTGAGGGAAACGGGTCCTGGACCCTGGGGGCCTTCCCCCAGGACGAGCTCTTCGTCCTGAGTCGTTTTCTGACTGCCCCCCGGGCCTGTGGAAGGCAGGACCCCGAGGGCCCCTAAACGGCGAAAAATCTCACGACCCGTCTTTCTTAGGACCCGCTTCCCCTAAGGAGGAGGAGAAGGAGGAGGAGGAGGAGGGGGAGGAGGGAGGAGAGGAGGAGGAGGAGGAGGAGGAGGAGGAGGAGGAGGAGAAGGAGGAGAAGGAGGAGGAGGACCAGTGTAAACCAAAGAGTCATCAACGATGTTGGAATAAACCCTCTCGCCAAGCTCCTTTTTCATAGGCTCCTACAGCGATTCATCTCCACAAAGGGAACTGCCTCGTCGGAAGACAATCGTTTGAACACTGAAACATGTAAAAAAAATATTCTCGGGATTCCAACGCCACGGATCAACCAGACCGTTGCGTCTTGACGAGCCTGAATCGTGCCAGAACGCCATTCCTGTGACTTCAACACCACGAGTCAACATAACTGCTGCACCCGCATAATCCTGAATCGTTCCGAAGAAAAACCATTTCTGGTCCGTTGACCATGGGAATCCGTGAACCATTTGCAAATGAATCAACTAATGTGCGCGGCGCTAATCCGAGAACCACAAATTGAAAAGGAGGCGCCCTCACTCCGTGAAACTCTCGCTCTTGCGATTTGTTTAAACGAATGTGCGCGGCGCTAAGGCGAGAGCCACGTGTTCATAACCACCCGCCCGCAATATGTGAAAACCTTGCAATGTGTTGCAAAGAATGTGCGCGGCGCCAAGGCGAGGACCACATGTTGGAAAGGACCGCCCTCAATCCGTGAAGCTCTGGTAAATGTATAAAACGTATGCACGCGGCGCCAAGGCGAGAATCACATTTTGAAAACCACCTGCCCTCCATCCGTGAAACGGTTGCCAATGTTTCAGCTTCAGGGTCATCGATGGTGAGGAAGCTTCAGGCGAAACGCCCAGTCCGCCCTGAAAAACTGACCTCGGGGTGCGACGGGGAAATGGCATTTCTACAGAACGGGAATGGAGGACGAGGAGGACGAGGAGGAGGAGGAGGAGGAGGAGGAGGAGCCTTCCCGTCCCACATGCTGCGGATGCCCTCCAAGAAGGCGCTGCTGTCGGTGCCCGCGTCGAGCTGCAGGACGTCCCACAGGCTCGGCTGGCCCTCGAACGCGTCGGGGCAGCCCGCGCTGTGCGGGCCCGCCTGGAAGGGCGGTGGGCGGACCGGAGCGCTCGTGAGGCGGGTCCAGTTCCTGTTGGCGTACAAAATCGGCCATCTCATTGTCGTGGTATTGACCTCTGGCGGCGCGCAGAAAGAGGGCAGGGGGATAGGGGGATAGGGGGAAGGCTTCTCAGGAGGAGGCTGCTTCTTGGAGAGGCGCGGGCCTGACATCTACAAACGAGGCCCGCGCCTTCCGAGAAGCAGGGGTGCTCCTAAGACGACGCCTTCCCCCCCCCCTCTCCCCCATACACCCCTCTGCGCGTGGCCGGCACCACCGTCCTCCTCCTCCTCCTTCTCCTCCTTCTCCTCCTCCTTCTCCTGCCGAGACCTGCACCAGGCACGTGACCTCCGAGAGGGCCTCCTCCATCCGGCCGAGCCGGAGGGCCCCACACCCATAGGTCTTCCGCGCCCGGTCGCGCCAGGGCTGGCGCCTCGCGGCCGCGGCCTCCGAGGCCCGCCTGTCGATCTCCTCGATCGGCACGGTCTCGCAGCGGTTGCGTGTCTTCTCCAGCTCGCGCCGCTGGATCTCCTGAACGGCGATGTAGCCGCAGTTGACCAGCACCTGGTACTGCCACCGTGTCAGCTTGCGGGGCACGTGGTCGATCACGCACAGCGCGCCCAGGCGGAAACCGTCGGACATCACCAGGGGGCACCCTGCGTAGAAACCAATGAACGGCTCTCCAATGACCAAAGGATTGCTGAACGTCCGTGGGTCTTTGACAGCGTCCTCGACAACGAACACTTGCGCATCCTTGGTGAGAAAGCTGAACGAGCAGAAGCTTGTGTTTTTCGGCGTTTGGGTAGCGTTGAGCCCACATCTCGACTTAAACCACTGGTGGTCGCCGCCCACCAAGCTAATGAGAACAATGGGCATGTTGAGGAGAACCTGCACCACCCTGGTGATGTTGTCGTAGGTGATATCCGCGTCATCTGTGTGCATAATGTCCAAACTTTCCAGCCTACGCAATCGATCTGCCTCGTTGCCAGGCAATGGTGCCCCAGGGTACGCATCCTGTCGAAGGACTTGCCATCGCTCGGACGTCAGCATATTTTGTCGCAAGATGATCCAACATGCTCCTCGAGGGTCCTCGCCGAGGAAGAGCGCACACGTCCGAGCGATGCCAAGAGAAATGCCAAGACACTGATAGCACTGCTTCCTGGACCTCTCTCTGTGGTGCGTGCTGACCAGGCTCCCGAAGGGAACCAGGCCATGGCGGCGACGAACTTCCAGGTGAGCCAAAACATGCAGAACTCTTGGAGGGCATCGATCTCAATATGTTTCTGTCCCCTCCGGGCCTGGATGAGGAGCGCTAGATCCCCGAGCTTGTAGTGGCAGGCCTCAAAGTACAGCTCCCGCCTCGTGGCAGCATCTGTTGGCGGCGCGAACTTCTCGGCGCCGTCCCGCAGAAAGTTCAGCACGTGGTGAAAGTGACGCCCGTCGCGGTCGACGAAGTAGACGCCCGAACCGCCGGGAGGCCGAAGGAGTAATTCCTTCAGCGGCGAGCCCTCGGGGCACGCGTCCATGGTCCTGGCCTGGGCGTCCATAAGTCGGATCGGCGGAGATCGGCAGCCGAGCCGGGAGAAGTCGAATCGGCGGCAATCGGCAGGCCAGGGCGCCTCCGTTGCGGAATCGGAGCCCACATCGGAACCCCGAGCCGACTCGAATCGCCATCGGAAGCCGTCGGCATCGAAACCGAAGCGCATCGGAGGAATCGGAACGAGCCCCGGCCTGGGTGGCGAAGCGCTCGCCCCCCACGTCGAGGTTCACCACGTCGTCCGGGCACGGGGCCTGCCACAAGCTGCCAGGGCGCGGCTCGCCGGCCCGTCTCCGGGCGGGACCTGCCCCGGCCTCGGAGGGGGCCGCGCCGATCCTCCCGCGGCACGCAGGAGCCACACGCGCACACCACTGGCGGCGCGCATGCACGCAGGGCGAACGGGGGCGAAGGCCTCTCAGAATTGGGCCGGGCGTGTCCCCCTACAGGCGGGTTGTGAACGAACAGTGAAAAGTAAACACAACATGCTCAAAAGTAGCCAAATAATTCTCGAGCAAATCTCAAAAGTAGCCAAATCATACTCGAAAAAAGCGTCCACTGACTATTTTAACTATTTTGAACATTCCTCCTGTACAGGGACATCCCCGACTTAATCCGAGAGAAGGATGCTGCTTCTGAGAAAACGCCGGCCCTCCTTCTACAGACAAGGTCCGCGCCTTTTCAGAAGCAGGGGTGCTCCTAAGACGCCTTCCCCCCGGGAGCCACTTCTTGACAATCCCGGGCCCCGGCGAAGGCCCCCAAATGCAGAACAAAAAAGAAACATCCGCCTCGATTGCTTCCATGCCCATCCGCCTCGATTGCTTCCATGCCCGGACCCCTCGCGCTGGGACAAAAATCGCGACGGGAGGTGTTTGTTCCCTTATTTTCAGCCTCTGGGGACCCTCACCTGGCCTCAGGACCGTCAAGAAACGACTCAGGATTCAAGAAACGACTCAGGATGAAAAACCGTTCCCGGGGAAAGGGCCCAGATCTCTGGGGGCCGACGTTGTGACACAATCACGACGTCGGGGGTCTGGGTACGCGGAAGGTCTTCGCGGTGTGCGGGCGCCTGCCGCGGCTCTCCCGTCGGGGAGGCGTACATAAGACTCGGGTTCGGGGGACTCGGGCTGGCCTGACGGGGCCATCATTAGGTCGGAAATGTCCTCCTACAGGCGGGTGTTCAAGGAAAAGAACAAAGATTCAGACATGTGTCAAAAAGGTAAAAAATCGGAAAGTCGGCCCGACTAGTTTGGGATTATGTTTGAATATTCCTCCTGCAGAGGGACATGCCCGACTTAAGGCCATCCTGTAAATGCCGAGGCCCGGTCTGAAATCTGACGCGAGCTCCCGCTGCAAACAGCCCACGAATCGCAGAACGTCAAACTCCAGGACGCGCTCGTCCAGACGCGTCGGCACGCCAGAGTTCTGGCTCACTCGAGTCCTGTGTTTCCAGACGCCTCCTAGATGGGGTCCAAGTAGATGGAGTCGGAGGATTGCACCGAATCGGCGATGCATCGGCGATGCATTGGCGACGCAGTGGCGATGCATCGTCGACGTCGCCGATGCATCGGCGACGTCGGCGTGAAGCGAATCTGGCTCCATATCGAGCCGCAGCGCTGACGCATCGCCGATGCATCGGCGATGCGGCGAAATCCTCCGACCCTATCTACTCCGAGCCCATCCAGGAGGCCTGTTTTTCCGAACCCCACAAACCCGTATTTCAATACAGTAAACCAGTTGCTCCAATTCAAAAATCAGTTTTTGAATTCACGAACCCGTTCCATGAGCGTGGTGTGCGGGCGCCTCCCGCGGCTCTCCTCGCGTCCAGCAGCCAGCGCGCGAACGCCTCGTAGTCCACTGGGCCCCGCTCGTGGACCCCCGCGGCGGGGAGGGCGTCGCTGGCCAGCAGCCCGCGCACGAGGGCGCCGTCCATCCCGGCATCGCAGGCCCGCAGGGAGCGGGCCACGCGGGTGCACAGGGCCCCCCGCGGCACCTCCATGGCCGGGCGACCTCCCAGGCCCCCTCCGCGCGGGGACCTCACGACGGGAGGTGCTTCGCTGCTTTCGGTCTCCCGGGGACCTTACAGGGCAGTCCTTAACACATTGGATGTTTAAAATTATAGGTCTCTTAATACATGAGTAATGTGTGAATAAGTTGATGCATGAACTCATCAATGTGTAATACTAAGTCCCTGCATTTTTAATACATGATCCGCACGCGGAGCATGTATTAAAAACGGCACTGTACCGGGCCTCGGGGCCCAAAGCGCCTTGGGTCCTGCATGTTCTCCTCCAGGCGGACTCTGGGAGAACAATCGGCCGGCCCCCGTGGGGCCACCGGGCTGTGGGGTGAGGACAGGCTGCTCCCTGCAGTGCTGCTTTCTTCTGCTTCCGATTGTAAATTGTTGAAGTGTGCGCGAGAGGGGGGAGCCCCGAACTGGCAAATTGCAACGCCCAAATCGCGTTGCCTGAATTTCAGGGGGGGGGGCGAGGGACATAAAAAATACATAGGATTCGAGCCCCCGTGGCCATAACCACTTGTAAATTACGCGATGTTCGCGTCCCCGAAGCCACAAGCTATGGTACATTACATCATTTGTTGTGCCCCCGAGGCAACAAACCTGGATAAATCATTCCGTATTCACGTCCCCGATGCCATAACCCATTGTAAATTACACCAGATTCGCGTCCCCGAGGACACAAACCATTGCAAAGTATACCGTTCTTGCGTCCCCGAGGTAACAGACCCTTGCAAATTACGCAAAAGTCGCGTCCCTGAGGCCATAAACCTTCGCAAAGTACGTCGTATTCGCATCGCCGAGACCAAGAGTGCTCAAACATGCTCGAGGGTCCAAGACGCGCACAAGAGGCCTCCAAGAGACCCAACAGATACCCCACGAGGCGCCCAAACTGCCTCAAGAGGCCCCCGATAGGCTCTCCACGGCCTCAGACCCACAACCCAGGCACGGTGGCGGGATGGGTCTCACTAGGATAACGCCGACGTCTCAACATGCGGTGATGATTCCTGTCCGCCCCCGAATGATGTTCCCAGATGCGCCAAGGCAGCGCCGAGACGCACCGACGCGACTCGGATAGATCCCATTGTGATAGAGAGAGGGCTGGCGGCAAAGGGGCGAAGCCCTCACGGATTTACATGGTCAGAAGATGTTCAAAAAATAGCCGAACAACCGTCCCCAGACTGCAGGCCCCTTTGTGGACCTCCTGGAAGACCTCTCGGGGGTCGACGCTGTGAGCAAGTCCCGCCGTCGGGGGCCTGGGCTCTTGGCCTCTCGGCGCGCCCGCGCGGCGCTGTTCGGCGGCGGCGCAACCTGTGCGGCCATTTGCGCGCCTCGAGCCAAGGCCGCCGCGGGGTGTGCGGGGACTCTCCTCCTCCTCCTCCTCCTACTCCTCCTCCTCCTCCTCCTCCTCCCTCTCCTCCTCCTCCTCCTCCTCCTCCTCCTCCTCCTCCTCCTCCTCCTCCTCCTCTTCCTCCTCCTCCTCCTCGCCCTCCTCCTCCCCTCCCAGAGCCGCCGCCCTCCGCCTCCCGGCGCTGCCGCCGAGGTGGCAGGGCTGCCGTCCTCGTCTGCCCCCGTCTCCTCCGCGACCTGGCGTTCTATTGCGTGCAACGCTAGGCCCGAGGTGCCGAAGTTGCCGCCAGCGGGTGCCTCGCTCGAGTGGCTCGAACTCGCGGACGCCTGGAGGCTGTCGCGTCGTGTCAGGGCCGATCAGGCATTTGAGCCGGGCCAGGCAGCCTGAGGGGCACCCTGTCGCCACCCCCCTCTGACTGGTAGAAGACAGGACGGGTGCCTGCAGCAGAGGGTGTTGAAGGCGTCGCCCGCGCGGGGGGCGTGAGCAGGAGGCCGAGTGGTGGTGTTCTTGTATCGGGGAAAGCTGGCCGAAGGAGGGTGTCGGATCGTCTCGGAATCGGCCACGGCGCCTTGGTCGTGGATCGCTCGCGCACGGTCGGCGCTGACGATCGCGCCCTCAGGTTGCCACGTCGCAGCGAGTGGCATGAACTGCACACTGATCGGCAAGCGCGCGTGCGGGTTCCTACCCCAAAAACGTTTCCGCAACTACAGACTACACAAGGTTACGGGTAAAGCGCGCCGAGGACAAGGAGGACGATGAGGAGAAGGCTACTCACAGACTGAACCGCCCATCGGGATTTCTGATCTGCGTTGCCCTCCACCTTCCCCTCCTATCTATTCCCCTTCCCCTGCCACAACCCCTTCTTCCTCCTCCCCCTGTTTTCCCGTCCCCTCTTTCCCCTTGTCCACTCTCCCCCTTCCCCTGCCTGTCTGCCCCCTACCCCTATCCTTTCCCCCATCTAGCCCTCTTCCGCAGTTTCCCTCTTCACTTACCTCTGGGCACGTTTCAATGCAGACTTGCCACCCGCTTCGCCCCATCCAAAACGAATAATCCTTCAACACCTCGAAAAGAAAACCCCGACTGGGCCCAGCCTGCCTGTTCGAGTCTGCTTTGATTCTGGACGGTGCCGCCATTGTCTGCACAAGCAAGCGTCTACAGCTAAGTGCCGGGAGCGACTGCGCACGCAAGCGTCGAGGATTTCAAGCCGACGCAAGTCTCCAATCTCAAATCATAAACGTCTGCGATCGTTCAACGATCTTGGTACCAGAGGCACTGGCACATCATTATGGTGTAAGGCTCATTGTCAGCACAGCGAGCGCTGTTCACCCACAGTGCTTCGCCAGTGACCTGGCATTGCTGACATTGGAGGAGGGGGGGAACGACAAGACGGAGGAAGGAGGAGGGGGGGGCATGGCGACCTGCCGAGGGACGGAGGGGAGAGCACTGGCCTCCCCTGCGCCTGACGTTGCTGACTCTGCTCCCATCCCCCTGCCGGACGGTCAAGGGGAGCGGCGGCCTTCGAGCAAGGCGGCCATGTCTCATAGGAAAATCCGCCCGCGAGCCTTCAACCAGCAGCATTCCCACATCGCGAACGTGTCGTGCGTGTCCTCTCTCGCTTGGCCCAATTCGTACGTGTGCCTTCCCGTTCGAGCCGTCAGGAGCGCGCTTCTGTGAACCTGCTGGTTCTTCGCGGGGAGGGCGAACCAGAATCCGCTGACCATGGGACCTCCGGTTGACGCCAGTTGCGTGATCAAGCAGGGCAGGAACACGCAAGAGGAACAGGAGATGACGGACAGGAAGAATGGGCAGGCAGGACGGACGGACGGATCAGGGACGAATGATGGAAGGCCAGGGACAACATGGAGAGCACAGGCACGCGGACGGATGTGATGTGTGGGGCAGGGAGAACTCGAGCCAACAAGATCGGAGGGGGCAATGGCACCGCCTGGTATGCCCACGAGCCCCCGGCACCGGCTGCACATGCTTGTCTTATATATATATATGTACATACATACATACATACATAAGAATATATACACATGTGCATACATATATGCATACATATCTATGTATACATATATACATATATATATATATATATACAAGACTGCAAAGGCGCTTCGCGCCATGCACCTTGGTCCTTGAGGCTTGGTATGCAGGCGGAATGGCAAGAAGGTCAAGCCGACAATTTAGCGATAACTCCTGGTTGCCTTTTCCAGCATCGCCGCTAAAATGATATTATTTGTTATCCTTCCTCCATGCATGTTGTTCCTTATTTTCGCCATACCCTGCGCATTCTCCCCATCCTCCTCAGCTCTTTTTTGCGGAGGCTCCTCCTTGGAGAGCCTCTAAGGGCCTCACAAAAGTTGTTTCGGGTTTTCTTAAGGCCTTCTGGAGGCCTCCTGGGCGTATTCTGGGGGCCTCCGGGGGCTTCCTCGGGCCACCCTGCCTCCAACTGCCGTCTCCCTGAACGACCGAATCACAATTTGGAATTCTTCGGAGGGCGTCTTTGGGCCATCTTGGGCCGCCATGGGGCTCTCTGAAGGCCATCTTGGACCCGTGTTGTGCCGTTTTGGGGCTCTCTTGGACTGCCTGGAAGCCCTTTCGGATGGTTGTGGGGCGATTTGGGAGCCTCCCAGGCGGCTTCGGACGCCCAGAAGACCGCCGTCTTGGAGCGTTGGGAAGCCGAAAAGAGGAGAACCCCCAAATTCACCAACAACCAATGGAAAATCAATGACTTTTGCCTCGGGGGGCCTTCTTGGGAGTGCTCGTGGAAGCCTCTTTGGGGCCGTCCTGGAGGCCTCTTGGGCCATCTTGAGGTCACGTCGGTCACTCTTGGAGCGCTCTTGTGCTGTCTTGGGGGTCTCTGGGACGTCTCCGATGACCCCCCTGATCGCCCTAAATGTGCTGGGAAGGCTTGGCAAAACGCATTGCGAGGCCCGGTGGCCGCTTCGAGGCCCGTCTGGAGGGCCCCAAAGCCTCAGGTCCCGGGAGTACGGTTTTTCCCAACCATCCTGTGGTGTTGGGTCCTCGTTCTGAAGAGACGTCGCCCCGCGATCCTCCTTCCTCCTCCTTCCTCCTCCTCCCCTTCCTGCCCCCTCCTCCCCCTCCCACACCCATTCTGGCACACCCCTCACTAGGGAGCTCCACCGAAGGCCCCAGTGGCTGCGCCCGCATGCGGTTCCACCCCCCATTCTGGCACACCCCTCACACGTTTCGTGGCCCCATAGGGAGCTCCACCGAAGGCCCCAGTGGCTGCGCCCGCATGCGGTTCCACCCCCAATTCTGGCACACCCCTCACACGTTTCGTGGCCCCATAGGGAGCTCCACCGAAGGCCCCAGTGGCTGCGCCCGCATGCGGTTCCACCCCCCATTCTGGCACACCCCTCACACGTTTCGTGGCCCCATAGGGAGCTCCACCGAAGGCCCCAGTGGCTGCGCCCGCATGCGGTTCCACCCCCCATTCTGGCACACCCCTCACACGTTTCGTGGCCCCATAGGGAGCTCCACCGAAGGCCCCAGTGGCTGCGCCCGCATGCGGTTCCACCCCCCATTCTGGCACACCCCTCACACGTTTCGTGGCCCCATAGGGAGCTCCACCGAAGGCCCCAGTGGCTGCGCCCGCATGCGGTTCCACCCCC